GTGAATCTTCTTACCAAAATATAATCCAAACTTCCTGAATAATACAACTTTAGTCAAAACGATATTATCTATGTAAATGATGAGCGCGGATTACGAAGACGGAGCATCAAAGGAACAATTACATATAAGTTTAAGCGTAAGGAAGAAAGTGAGTATTGTATGGCGCTACTTTGAAAAGTTGGACAGGCTTCGGGTGCGCTGTAGGCTTTGTGGGCACAAGCAAAATTATCAAGGAACAACAGGAAATATTTTACGTCACTTAAAAAATAAACATAATATTGATGCTACTCTGAAAGGTCAAAAAACCAATACTGAATTAGTTACCAGTGGCAATCAAGTCGAAAGCAATTCATACGATAAAAATATACAGGAGGTAGGCGCAAAGTCTATGACATACCTATTTACTCAATATATCTAAAACTACCAAAAACAGGAAAGTTGCGAGATTGTTTTTCTAAAAAACGAAAGTACAGAGTCTATCCATCGTCATCTAAGTGATAAATCTGCAGCCAGAACTTCTGTTGAGGGTTTGGATCCATACTCGGACAGCACTTTTGTAAGTATTTAACTAAAAGTCTACTCCAGGTCCTTCAGGAATTGGAGGATTCTACTGAAAGCTGTCTCCCTGCGCCTTCTTACATAAGGCTTTTAGTAGCGAAAACAGTTTTCCTGTATATCCTGTAAAAAACTGCAAATCTGGAGTACTTGGAATAGTCTAAGATTATTAAATGTCGTAACTAACTTTATTTTCATTTAGCAACTTTACGACTATACAGACGAATCACCAAACAAAAACATTGTACTTAATCCCGCAGAAACAGAGAAATATTCAGTCGAAGAGGAGCGACTATTAGCAGAAATAGAATATTTTCGTGAAAAAGCTGGGTACTATAAGATGCAGAAAAATCTGGTGGCATTACAAGCAAAAAAGATCAAATATGAACTTGGACATTTATAACAATTTTTTGGAATATTGTTAATTTAGTAGAAACTGTGTCTGTTATTACTAATCCCGATTTATAGCTTTCTCCTTACTAAAATTCGCTAGTAAAAAGTAGGTGTTACACGTGCCAAGTATAAGTTCATCCCCTGTTAAATTCAAGAATTTCCAATAGTGATTCCATGTAAAGTTACTTTCTAAAGCGAGTTTTATTTTCGAAAATCAAAGTTTTCGATACTATTTATCAGTTTACACCAGAGACATAAATATTATAAGAGAAAAGAATAAAAGCCAATCAAAGACTTATTTTAAAACTCATTTTATAAGTCATTTCATAATAATTATGAGGGCGAAAAAATTTTTTAAGTCTTAAAAGACGGGACTTGTTCAGGAGGATTTGAGGATTAGTTGGGGCCGGTTCGCATTAGTTGGGGAGCAGTTTGGGACCAGTTGGGGCTTGGTT